ATCCCTCGTCCTTTCCCTGAGTGCAGGAAATAGCACAAAAAGGGCCTTCCAAAAATACTTTCTTGGGGCCTCCCTGGTGACCCTATGGTTAAGACTCTGCATTTCCAAAGCAGGGGTGCGGGTTTGATCCCTGGTTGGGGACTAAGATCCTGCATGCCGTGTGGTGCAGCCAAAGAATTAAGTAAAAAAGTTTTCTTGATGGAAAATTGCTTTCCTGGCTCTCAGTGGCATGATCCTTTTACTGAATTTATGATGTGGGCAGTAATTAGGAATTCTTTATTACAGATGGGAAAATGAGGCTGAGTGCGTCTGCCCCGATACTATCAGTCCTTCCAGGACAGGGCTTTGTGCTTCCCTCTCTCCACACCAAAAGCCCTCCCCACCACACACATACACACCACACACACCCACACACACACACACTCATCACACACACCCATCACACACACACACCACACACACACACCCCACCACACACACCCGTCACACACACACACACACACACACACACACACACATACACCCCACACACACACCCATCACACACCCCACATACACACACCCCCCACACACACCCATCACACACACACACACCCCACACACACCCCACACACACACACCCCACACACCCCACCACACACACACCCCACCACACACACACACCCCACCACACACACCCATCACACACACATACACACACACCCACATACACCCCACACACACACCCCCCACACACACACCCATCACACACACACACACCCATCACACACCCCACACACACACACACCCACACACACACCCACACACCCCCCACACCCCCACCCCCCCCACACACACCCCCCACACACCCCCCACACCCCCACCCCCCCCCACACACACACCCCACACACCCATCACACACACACCCCACCACACACACCCATCACACACACACACCCCACCACACACACACCCATCACACACCCCCACCCCCCCCCACACACCCCACACACCCATCACACACACACCCCACCACACACACACCCATCACACACACACACCCCACCACACATACCCACACACCACACACACACACCTCACCACACACACACCCCATCACACACACACCCACCCACAGGCACTCAGGGCCTATTTGCTGAATTCCTCAGGGGCAGCTAAGCCTTAGACTTGATCTGTAAAATGAGGCCTCGTGTCTGACGTTTTCCAGGTACTAGCTCCGGCTCGCCCTTCACTTTCCTCCATTCTGCTCTGGTCCCTGGAGGCTGACCTTTCCCAGAGCTGCAGCTCTCATCAGGTTCAGGGACTGTGCCTTGCTCCCTGGGTGGGTAAAGCTTCCAGCCGCTGCAGGCCCCTGAGAGCCGCAGCAGCCTTTCTTAGCTCCTCCAACTGTGCCCACCACTCCAATCTCGTCCCTTCATCAAGCCTTTTTCAGTTACCCCTTTAAATGTGCCAACTGTTTCCATCCAGTGTCCTGACTGCTACAATAATTGGTACCAGCATAGCCCTGGGAAATAGATTCTTGGCTGGGATTCTGGGGTTCTGGGATGGGTGGCTCACACATCCTGGTTAGTGTGCGAACATCCTCCTTGGTGGGGGTAAGGGACGATGGTTGTCTGCGACATCGCAGTGACTGCCTTTATGACTAGTGGTGGTGTGAGATGCACTGGTATGATGTCGGGAGACCAAGTAGCTAGGACATTTAGTCACTGTGGTGACAGTAGTGATTACAAAGACTGGCTCGGCCTTCTGACTCTACATCTGATTGCCCTCGGGTACACACACAAAGGAAACAAGACAGATTGAAAGCCTTGAACTGGGTTAGGTGGGATATAATTCTCATCATGGCCTAGAGGCAGTGAGAGGTGATGGAGGTGTCCTGAGGAAAACCAGCATCAGGAAAAGGCCCCGGGTGACGTCACTGCAGGGTGTTCATGCCAGGAAGGTTTGAAGGTTTCAGACTGAAGCCAAGGTGCTGCCTTCAGCAACAAGGAAGATTCAGGAGGTGTTGGGATTTCAAGTTCTATTCAAATGTCCCCATCCCATGCCTGGATGTCCTATCCTTTCTTAACCAGTGCCCCTCCATTAGCATAAGAGATGTAGTTGTGGGGTTGAACATTTAATTGGCTCTGCAACCCTGGTACCCTGACCTTTAAGGCATGGGCTTTGTCCTCAGCTATATCTTCCCTGTGGCCCCCAGAGATCAAGATTCTTTAGAGTCATTCTAGAGGCTTTCTGAATATTCACCCTTCCACTGAGTCATGAGTTCAAGGCTTTCAGTTTGTTCTTAGCCTGAGTGAGCTCAATGGGACCACAGACCCATTCTGACAATTAACCGACAGACACACCACTGGGGACTTCCCTGGTGGTCCAGTGGTTAGACTCAGGGCTTCCAATACAGGGGACACATGTTCAATATCTGGTTGGGGGACTAAGATCCCACTTGCCCTGTAGTGAGGCCAGAAAAGCAGGGGGACAAACCAAAGGCAATACTCACATCCCTAAGGGAATTCCAGAAATTAGTGCCACCATCAATGATCTGAAATACACAGAAGTGGTCATTCCTTCTAAGACCCAGCTTAACTTACCTATTTGGCTGGTGCAAAAACCAGTTGGGTCTTGAGGAATGACTAGATTACTGTAACTACTAGGTGGGATGGAGCTGTAACTGTGGATCCAGACATGAAAATTTCACTGGAGCAAATCAACACAACTTCTGCCCTGGGGCCCATCCTTGACCCCCAATTCTTTTCTACCCCAATAAGTAAAGATCATCAAACTTAGTTTGTCTTTGTGTATTAGAGATAGCAGTATATCTTCAGTCTACATCCTCAAGGCTTTGTTTACTCTCCTGATCTCTGCCATAATCTAGTCCAAAGGGATGCTGATCATCTTGATATAGTTCCAAACATTATGCTAGTCCATTATATTGATGACATTATTGTAATTGGGCCTAGTGAGCAGGAAATTGCAAGCACTTTAGATTCTTAGCAGAATATGTATGCCAAAGGAAGGGTGATAAATCCCACAAAATATTCAGAGGAATGCCTTGTCGGGGAAGTTTCTAAGGTATCTGGAGGTCTGGGGCATGTCAGTACATCTCCTACAAAATGAGAGTTGCTGAACCTGATACTGCCCACAACAAAGAAAGAGGCAAAATGTTTGATGGGACTCTGGATTTTTGAGGTAATATATACAACATTTGGTCATGCTGTTCTACCGATTCACTGGAAAAACTCATAATATTGCAAGTTTTGAGAGGGGCCTGCGGCAAGATAAGACGCTGTAGCAGGTCCAGACTGCAGAGCAAGCTGCCCTGTCCCTTGAGCTTTACAATTTAGAAGTTTATGGCAGGAAAATATGCTGTATGGACAAGCTCCAGCAGGAGAGATGCAGTACAGTTATAGACCCTTAGGGTTCTGGATTAATTCATGCCCTCTTCTGCCAGTAACTATTCTCCAATAACTATTCTCCACTGAAAAACAGCTCCCGGCTCATACCCGAGCATGGTGGAGACTGAATGTCTGATTTTAGGACACCAAGTGACCCATGCAACCAGAACTGGACATCATCAGATCCATCTCTTTGTCAAATTGGACATGCATGGCAACATTCTATTATTCAGTATTATATCTTAGATCAGGTCTGAGTAAGTCCAGGAGGCACAAGGAAATTGCATGAACAGGTGGCTCAGATTCCCACGGTAGGTGCTCTCACGCTTCACTGCTTCTCTCTCAGCCCCCAGTTGGGGAAGTTGCTGTGACTGGTTATCATGGAGGAAAAAGCACAGACATGATTTCCAAATGAGTTTGCATAGTATGTTAGCACCAGCCACAAATGGATTAACTGCCACATTAAAGCCACACTCAGAGTGTCTCTAAAAGATGAAGAGATATCCTCTTATGGTTATACTGATTGTCCATTTTGCATGGAAGGAGAGATGACCAGAGGTACAGATCTCTGATTCATGAGCAGTGGGTTAACAAGTTGAGTGGCTGCTCAGGGACTTGAAAATAAGAGTGGAAGATTGGTGATGAAGAGGTAAGAGGTCTAAGGGAAAGATTTATGGATGAACTGCTTGAAATGGGCAGAGGTGGTGAAGCTATTTTAACTCACACAAGTGTCCTGAGAGGGCATCCATTGTGAGGGAGGGTCTCAGTGGTCAGGTGGACAAGATTACCTAATCTGTTGATGTCAGCTTCCTTTCCAAGCCACTCTGGTTCTGGCTCAATGGGCCCACACACAGAGTGGCATGTGGCAGGGATAGAGGCCATTCATAGTGTGGTAGACAAATAATGACCTGCCAATGATGTCTATGTCCTAGACTTCCCTGGTGGTCCAGTGGTTAGGAATCTGCCTGCCAATGTAGGGGACATGGGTTTGATCCTTGGTTCTGGAAGGCTCCACACACTATAGGGCAACTAAGCCCATGTACCACAACTACTGAGTGAATGCTCTAGAGCTTGTGCTCCACAACAAGAGAAGCCACGGCAATGAGAAGCTCAACACCTCAACAAAGAGTATCCCCCGCTTGGTGCAACTAGAGAAGGTCCATGTGCAGCAATGGAGACCCAGCACAGTCAAAAAATAAAGAGATGTCCACATCCTAATCCGAGGATAAGGATCCTAATTAGGATTAGGATCTGTGAATATATTTTATAGGGCAAAGGGTAAATAAAGTTTCAGTTCGGTCACTCAGTCATATCCGACTATTTGTGACCCATGGACTGCAGCACACCAGGCATCTCTGTCCATCACCAACTCCTGGAGTCCACCCAAACCCATGTCCATTGAGTCAGTGATGCCATCCAACCATCCCATCCTCTGTCGTCCCCTTCTCCTCCCACCTTCAATCAATTCCAGCATCACGGTCTTTTCAAATGAGTCAGTTCTTCACATCAGGTGGCCAAAGTATTAGAGTTTAAGAGTTTAAAAACTGGGCAGAAAAAATTAAAGTCACTAATCAGCCGACCTTAAAAATGGGGAGATTCTCACTTTTCCAGCTCCAGCCCTGGACGCAGCAGCCGTTGCGATGTTGATGCCTAAGAAGAACCGGATTGCCATTTATGAACTCCTTTTTAAGGAGGGGGCGATGGTGGTCAAGAAGGAAGTCCACATGCCCAAGCACCCAGAGCTGGCAGACAAGAACGTGCCTGATCATCACGTCATGAAAGCTATACTGTCTCTCAAATCGCGAGGCTACGTGAAGGAACAGTTTGCCTGGAGACACTTCTACTGGTACCCCACCGACGAGCGCATCCAGTATCTCCACGATTACCTCCACTGGCCCCCTGAGATCGTGCCTGCCAACTCTGCTCCGCAGCCGTCCTGAGACTGGCCGGCCATGGTCCAGAGGTCTGGAGGGAGAGTGACCTGCAAGACTCACATGAGGAGAAGCTGACAGAGACATCTACAGACGAAGTGTCGTGCCCCCTGGTGCCAACAAGAATGCCGAGGCTGAGGCTGGGTCAGCAACTGAATTCCACTTTAGAGGGTGGAATTGGTCGTGGATGCGGTCAGCCACCTCAATAATTTGAAAGAGTGTTTTGGGTTGAATAGCCTGTAACCAGAAAAATTAAAAAAAAAATAGGGAGATTCTCCTGAATTATCTAGATGGACTCAGTGTCATCACAAGAGTCCTTAAATGTGGAAGCAGGAGGCAGAGTCAGAGGCAGGGTGGGGAGAAGTGAGAGTCTGCTGGCCATGGCTGGTTTTGAAGATGGAAGGAGGGAACAAGCCAGGGAATGCAGGCAGCCTCTAGATGCTGGAAAAGGCAAGAAAACAGATTTTCCTCTAGAGACTCCAGAAAGGACTGCAGCCTTGCCGACACCTTGATTTTAGCCCATGCTCAAGTCATTTCAGTCGTGTCCAACTCTATGAGACGCTATGGACCGTAGCCCACCAGGCTCCTCCGACCATGGGATTCTCCAGGCAAGAATACTGGAGTGGGCTGCCATGCCCTCCTCCAGGGGATCTTTCCTACCCAGAGATTGGACTCACGTCTCTTCTGTCTCCTGCATTGGCAGGCAGGTTCTTTACCACTAGAGCCACTTAGGAAGCCCTTGATTTTAGCCCAGTTAGACTCATTTTAGGCTTATGACCTCCCAAACTCTAAGATAATAAACTTGTGTTGTTTTAAGCCACAAAGTTTTTGGTAATTTATTTCAGCAGCCATATAAATCAGTACACATAGACACAACAGATTTCCCTCACCAAATCTGATTGGGCAGTGAGCGCTGCTGAGTGCTCAAGCTGCCATCAGCAAAGACCCAGCTGAGCTTCTTGTTTGGAACTATTCCCTGGGGCAGTGGTTCTCAAAGTGTGGACCAGGAAGACTTCCATGGGTTCTACGAGGTCAGATCTACTTTATTAATACTAAGACAGTGTTTGCCTTTTTCTTTCAGTGGTGAATAGTGGAATATTCCAGAGGCTACACAGCGTGTATACAACAGACTGAATGTTGAATGCTGAAGCAGATCTGAGAATCTAGCTGTCTCTTACTAAGCCAGATTCTAAAGAGATCTGCAGGGACTTCCCTGGACATCAAGTGGTTAGGACTCCACACTTCCATTGCAGGGGGCTCGGGTTCAATCCCTGGTCAGGGAACTAAGATCCCACGTGCCTCACAGCATGGTCAAAAAAGAGAGAGATTTGCAAACATGTCAAATCACGGCACTCTTCTCACAATTTCTGTTTTCAAAAAGTTATTTTCATTAAAATGTTATGTTACTATGTAATGGGTTTATTAGTTTTAAATAGTGTAGCACTTTAACTTCTAATCCAGTAAAATAGATATACCCCACATAAACAAAAACCCTTTACAATTTTTAAGAGTATAACCTTTCAATAATTTTGAAGAGTGCAAAAGGATCCCGACACCAAAAAAAATCTGAGAACCACCGCCCTTCAGGGACCAGCTAAGCTATCTATTGGCAGGTTGAGTGCATTGTCCCCTTGCTTCATAAAGGATCAGTTACCTATTACCTCAAGGTTATAAATATGCATTCCTGCTATGGACTTGCCTTCCCCGCCTGGAGTGCTTCTGCCAGCCTCTTCATTTCTGTACTTGCTTGTTCATCACCCTGCTGTCCCCCACACAGCCTATTTTCCTTTTATGGTGAAGGGCATGGAGCAATGGCCTTGCCCATGGAAGCACTGGACACACAATATGTCCCATCGCTCAGAAGCAGCTGATCCGATCCAGAAACCTCCAGTGCCAGCTGGGAGACAGCAACTTGGGTTACTGACATGCGGGATGCAGTGTAAGTTTAAAATCAGTGGCTCCCCCTCTCACAGCCTGAATGCAGAGGCCCAGGGACCAAGCAGTGGAAATGAGGGTGGCTCTTCTATGATCCCAAATAACCCGGAGGAATTTTTGCTTTCCCTCTCTCGACTTTGTGTTCAGTGGGCCTGGAGGGAACACAGATGTTGTTCCCTGAAGTCAGAGGTAGAGTCTTCTGGTCATTTTGAGCTCTGAATATTGCTTAACTCAAATGTAGAGAGGGGATCAAGTGTACCATGTAGGGTGATGAATCTAGAAAAGGGAGGGTGGGCAGGAAAGGCACGTCTAGAATCCGGGGGACTGACAGCGCTTCTCAGATCTCCCATGTCTAATAGTGACTGTGGGAAATGGCAACCCAACAAACCGAAGACCAATACAAACCTGAATTCCATAGGAGTAAAGACTGAGAACACACACACACACATTATAAAGACCCAAATACACACACACACATTGTAAAGACCCAGATACACACACATACACATTGTAAAGACCCAGATACACACACACACACACACACATTGTAAAGACCCAGATACACACACACCCACACACACATTGTCAAGACCCAGATACACACACACACATTGTCAAGACCCAGACACACACACACACACACACACACTGTCAAGACCCAGATACACACACACACACACACACATTGTCAAGACCCAGAAACACACACACACACACATTGTAAAGACCCAGATACACACACACACAGATTGTAAAGATCCAGATACACACACACACACACACACACATTGTAAAGACCCAGATACACACACACCCACACACACACATTGTAAAGACCCAGATACACACACACCCACACACACATTGTCAAGACCCAGATACACACACACACATTGTCAAGACCCAGACACACACACACACACACACACATTGTAAAGACCCAGATACACACACACCCACACACACATTGTAAAGACCCAGATACACACATACCCACACACACACATTGTCAAGACCCAGATACACACACACACAGAGTAAAGGACCAGACCAGCCAAAGTGCTGGCAGCTGGTGAGAGGACCATGGAAGGGGTGGGAGGAGGAAGGCATGACTGCTTACACAGGTCTCGCGACCAGCTACAAAAAGGGGGGCTGGAGCAGGTTTCTGCTGTTATCCCTCGTCTACTGTCTTGTTGAAAGAGCCTTGGTGATGACTGAGTTAGGTTCCCAGTGAGTGTGATTGAAGGATAACAATGATGTGGTAAGACAAGGATATGGTGGGCTGATGAAACTTTTTTCTTCCTGTTAGGGATGAGCTTTCTTTAATAAACTCTTAATTTTAAGAATTGAGGTGAAATTCACATAACATAAAACAAGCCATTTTAAAGTGAACAATCAGTGGCACTTGTGCAACCATCACCATGATCTATTTTCAAAGCTCTTTCATTACTCTAAACGGCTAAATCCTGTAGCTGTTAAGCAATAGGGACACACGTTTTTCATCCGAAGGACGACAGTGAATGGTGAGGGGGAGGAGAAGGAATGGCTCTGCCTTCTCTCTAAACCCTCTCCCCTTGTTCCACTACTGAAGGCTCATCTGGGTGAACTGCGCTCAGTGAAGTTTCTAGCTGCCTCATTTCCCTTTCCCATGGGTCTGACCAAGGGGAGGCACCAGCAGGATCAAAGTCAGGGTATTTCTCCTCTGGCTCCCTGCCTGGCAGGGGCTGGGTCCTGATCACTGTGGCTGCAGCTCCAGCAAGGCAGCCCCTCCCCGTACTAGCAACTTCTTCCTCTTGCCCTTCAGCTCCCTGTAGTGTGATCCCCTTGAGTCCCATCCCTGGTCATGTTCCCTTAACCCTGCCCACGCCTCTGTAAGGAATTCCTTAGTTGAAGGTTCCTTAGTAACCCTTTGAGTGTTCCATCCATTTCTTGCTGGGACACTGTTACAGGAATGGATGCTGTGGCCCCTCCCTATGGTCTTTTTGACACTGATCACTTCAGATTTTATGGATCAAACCAGCTCCATTCACAGGTCCCAAGTCTGGGCAAGGAGAGGCTATCCTCCACAAGGCAGGTCCCAGGGGTGCCTGGGGTGTGTGCCAAGGCCTCACTGCCCTCTGGTGGCCAGCGCCTGGAAGTGCACCTCACGGACCCAACTTCAGCTGAACTAAGCCCAGGCACTGTGCTGAGACCACTACACTCCTGAGCACATTCCATCCAGGGGTTAGTGTCCCCACTTTACAATGGAGGGCCTCTCCCTTGCCCGTAGCATAAACCAAAATCTTGACCGTGGGCTGCCAGGTCCCACCTTCACTTCCCTGCCTGTCACTCTCTGACCCAGCCACACCAGCCTTTCCACAGCTCCTAGGGTGTTCCCATGTACGGCTCCCAGTTAGAATATTTGAGAACTCACTCAAACCTTCTTCACTGGGTTAACCTCCGCTCATCCTGTAGTTCTCTCCTAGGATATCACATAGGAAAAGTCCTGCTCAACACCCCTCCTTCCCTTGTCACACACAGACACAGAGACACACACACACACACATAGGTACACACACACATAGATACACACAGACACACACACAGGCACATAGATACACACAGACACACACACAGGCACATAGATACACACAGACACACACACACAGACATAGATATACACAGACACACAGAAACACACACAGACATAGATACACACAGAGACATACAGATACACACACAGACATAGATACACACAGACACACACACAGGCACATAGATACACACAGACACACACACAGAAACACACACACACAGACATAGATACACACAGACACACACATACACACACATAGATACACACAGACATAGATACACACAGACATAGATACACACAGAGACACACAGACACATACACACACATAGATACACACAGAGACACACACACAGGCACATAGATACACACAGACACACACACAGACACACAGAAACACACATACACAGACACAGATACACACACAGACATAGATACACACAGATACACACACAGACATAGGTATACACAGACACACAGGCACACATACAGACACAGACACACACAGATACACACAGACACACACATAGACACACACACATAGATACACACAGATACACAGAGATACATGCAGAGACACATAGACACATACACAGAGAGAGACACACACAGACACATAGATATACACAGACACGCACACAGATACAGACACATAGATAAACATGGAGAGACACAGAGACACACACAGGCATAGATACACACGAACATACACACAGAGACACACAAATACACACACAGATAAAGACACATGGAGACACACACAGAGACACAGAGAGAGACACAGACACACACACACAGACACATAGACACACACAGAGACACAGAGAGAGACACAGACACACACACACACACAGACACATAGACACACACAGACACACACAGAGAGACACACACACACAGCTTTCCCGGCAGGACTGGTGAACGCTGCTCTTCTTCAGAAGGAGCCTCAGGGCTGGGTGCCTCCTGCTTTGCTCACACCCGTGTCCCGGGTGCTGGGTCCACAGGAAGCAGCACACCAACACCCGACATGGACTGTTCTCGGTGCTGGCCACCGAGCCAAGCCCTTCCGGTGCCTGGGCCGCCTTCCTCCCCCCAAGTCCCTGGTGCCCAGGAAGCAGCCCTCAACTCTATCAAAAACTCACACGGATTTATTAGAATATGAAAAAGACTCGGTCTCTTCTGTACAGGCGGCAGAGCGGCAGCAGCTGGAGTGGCTTTGAACGTGGTTGTCAGCGTCACCCTTGCACGGTGACTCCTGCCCAAAACAGCACTTACATGGAGAGGAGGGGGAGATGAGCACCCACTGCCCAGCCCACTGGGGAGGGGGGTGCTCTGACTATTGCACGATCCTGGGGAGAGCAGTACCCTAGAGAGAAGGACAGAGACCACTAGGCCTGGGCCCGGCCCATGGCGGCCATGGGAGCAGGAGTGCATTTCTGTGAGCAAAGGCCTCTGGGGGCCCAGGACTCCGCTCACCCACCAGCCCTGGCCAGTGAGAGATAGGGGACACCCCCGCCCTCCGAGGACAGGGCGCCACAGCAAGCTGATGCAGTGCTTACAAGAGAGGTTCCAGGGGCCAACGGGGGCGCGGAGGGGGCGGAGAGAAAGAACAGGCCAGCAGGAGCTGAGGGTCAGGCCCAAGAGAAAGAAGGTCCTAAGAGGCCCAGCATCTATGAGTTAGAGAAAGTCATGATTGGGGTGTTCGTGTGTGTGTGCGTGTGCGTGTGTTGGAGGTGGGGTGGTGAGGTCATTTCTGAAATCAGAGCCCTGTGCACAGACAGAGGACTGATTTGGGGAAGAGTGTTGGGCAGACAGGCACGTATGCGGATGAGTGATGCTCTGGAGTAGGATGGTGGGAGTTCTGTTCAGGCAGGGGTTTTCAAAAATGTTTTAAAAACAGGAATGCCCTCTGTGCAAATAGAATCGTACATGGAAGTGTGAACAAACAAAACAGATACAAAGGCAGCACTCTCCGGAGCTCCGATCAGCAGCCCCTGAAGGGCCCAGTGGTCCCCGCTGGAGCCCAGTTTGAAGGAGCTGAGTCCCAGCTCCAGACAGAGCTCAGAGGTGCCCTCAGCCTGCAGCTCTGAGTAAGGACAGGTCAGGTGAGGTGGCCAGTGTGAGAGCCGCCAGGAGGACGGCATGGCTACGGGTCCCCAACCCCTCTCCAAGTCCATGGGTCTCCGACCCCTCCCCAGGTCCGACGCCTGGTCCCCTAGTCTCTTCCCTGTTAATGGAGGCCCCGGCTCCTTCCCTTCCCAGGAGGGACCAAGGCTGAGCCAGAGGCTCTTTGGTTAGAAACTAAGATTGATTTGAATGAGCAGGGTGACGGAATGGGAGGGGCCTCGCGGAGGTCTACGGGACTCGGAGGCCCTGGTCCGGGTAGGGAGAGAGCTTGGCTCGGGAGGGGGCAGGTCCGCCTCCGATGGATGGATCAGGAAGGCAGTTCTGGCGGGAGGGAGGGTGCTTCCCGGGAGGCGGGGGGAAGCCGTGCTGCGGTGGGGGCTGTGGGCCCAGCTGCCATGCGGTGGGGGAGGGCCAAGGCCAGTCCAGGTTGGGAAGGACGAGGGGAACCCCCTGCCCCACCAGCAGCCCCGGCTCTGGTGGGAGAGTCCGTGGTGGGAAGGGCACCGCCCACTGGCCCCCCAGTTCTACTGGCCCTTGGGGATGAAAGGCTCTCCCTCCCCAGGCTCAGGGTGGGGGCCTGGGTCACTGAGGCAGCGCTGTATCCTCTGAGAGCTGGGGCTGTCGCTAGGCGCCGGGGTGAAGACGTCGTCGGTGCCCGGGGACGAGGGCTCCTTGGTCCGCATCGTGAGGCCCTCGTCGGGGTCTTCGTCATCCTCCTCCTCCTCGGCCAGCCTCCCCGGATCTCGGCTCAGCCCCAGGACCTTGCCCTTCAGCTCCTCGTTCACCAGGTCCACGGACTCGGGCGACTGCGGGGAGGCCGGGTCGATGGTGATCACAGGCAAGTCAGCCTTGGGCTCATAGGCCAGCGGGTCTGCGAACCAAGAGCAAGGTGCAAGCTGGCTTCCGCCCCCGAGCCATCCCAGTGCGTGGCCCACCTCTGCCCGCAAAGAGCCTGCCTGTGAGTGCGGTGATCCTGGTATGCTTCAAATCACTCCACACGGGTCTTTAATGAGCCCTGTCACCTGGCCAATAGTTCCTCCTCCCCTCGGACTGCACTCTCCCAGGTAGGACTGTGCTCCTCTGCTCAGCCCTGGGGCTCCCATAGGAGTCCCTGCTCGGATGAAGAGTTCAGACTCCTTCCCGAGTCACCCGTCCTGGAAGGCCTGCCCTTGGTCCCGGACATGTCGGAAAGCCCAACAGTGCAGCCCACTCTGGCCTCCCCAGCGGGCACCCGGCTCCTCAGCATGAGCCCCCCCATGGAGCACTCTGTCCCTGGGGAGGACAGCAGGGCCACTCTTCTGGGGGGCTCCCCCTCTGGTGAACCCAACTCCACCTGATATAGGAGGAGCTCACGGCTTGGGAGGAAGGCAGGGCCGGAGAAGCCTGTCCTCTCTGCAGACCCTCTGAGGCCCGGGCCCTGTTGGAGCCTCATCTTCAGGAGACAGTGGCCCCGTGCCCAGCCTCGAGGCCCGTCGCCAGGGCCCCCCACGCCCTGCCTTACCTGAACCGATGCGGGCCCGCGACATGGTGGGCGAGTCCAGCTTGTGGGCTGGCACCGTCAAGTAGTTGTTGATCTGACAGAGGAAGAGCAGACGGGGGTGGGAGGTGAGCAGAGGCGGCCCTCCTGGACGGCGCCCCGGGCCGTGGCCACACAGCCTCCTCTGTGTGCCCGGGCGCCCGCTCCCTCTCCACCCATGCCCGTGGCGAGCCTGGGCCAGTGCTGGGTCCTGAGGGCTTGGCCCAGCCTCTTGTTGGGCTCTGGGGTGACCCTGAACACCCCCACACTGTCCCACCCCTCCCATAGGGACACGGGCTCAGCCTCTAGCTCCAGCCCTCATCTGCCCCTGAGGACAGGCCCATGGAGTCAACTCAGGATGTCACCCAGATCCTGGACAACCCCCGGGATTCCCAGGGGAACACGCTCCGACTGAACTCAGCTTATCTTCCTTCCAAACCGGCTCCTGCCTCAGTGTCCCCTCAGGCACCCAACCCGCCTACCCCAATCAAAGGCCAGACGTGACCCATGCCTCCTTTTCCCCTTCCCTGGGTCCCACCTCAAACTGGTAACCAAGTCTCGCCACTTGACCTCCTACATGTCCCTTGAATCTGCCTGCTCCTCCCCTCCCCCCGCCACCCCACGAGTCCACCCACACCCCTTCCCATGTGCTTCCCTTCTAAGAACACTTCATGACTTCTCCATGCTTTGGAAGGAAGCCCAAACCTTTAATGCCCATTGACAAACTTCCTTGAAAGCTGAGCCCCCTCAGTCTGTGGTCAGGAACTTATGCCTAGTTTCTTTCCTTCTGCCTGGCCCTTCCCCAGCCCACACTCCCTCCCCTGTGACTCTCATTCCTAAGTGCACTCTGACCACTTCCTCGTTCCGTTCGAGGTGCTCAGAGCCCCTTGCACTTCCGGTTCTGCCCGGGGCCACTGCGTGCGGGCCACTGCGTGCAAAGCTCCGTAAGGGAGGGACTGGGCTGATTCACCATCCGATTCACGGAGGCAATTCTGCCGCTTGGCACTTAGGGAGAGCTCCACAAATATTTTCCTGAACGAGTGAATGAAGGCATGTGTGTCTTACTTTCTGATTCTGAACCTTAGTTTTCCTTTCCTCTGATCCTTAGTTTTCTCACTAGAAAATGAGAGGTTAGAGCAGGTGGATAGACTCTTCTAGATTTGATACCCGAGGACACAGTGGGGAAGGGGGGCCTCTTTGCTGCTCTGTGTGTAGAAGAGGTGGAGAAGGCAGCTTTCTGGAACCTTCCCTGGGGCTCAGCGTTTGAAACACGTGGGGTTTGTGTGTGTGTTCAGTTGCTGAGTTGTGTCTGACTCTTTGCAACCCCATGGACAGGGAAGCCTAGAGGGCTACAGTCCATGGAATTTTCCAGGCAAGAACACTGGAAGAGGCTAAAACACCAGATGGGAGAGGCTCTGTCTCCCAGAGGGCTGGGTGGTGGTGGTAGGCAGAGGAAGAGCCCAGGTTCCCAAAGGCGGGAGCTGGCTCCAGCTCCGGACACACCTTCTGCTCCAGTTGCCGGGCCTTCTGTCTCCGGAGCAGCATCTGGTTCCAGGCCTCCTCGTAGGGGTCGGCCACCAGCGTGTGTCTGTTGTAGGACCGCAGCTGTGGGAGGAACAGCTGTCAGGAAGGCCCGGCCAGGCCCTGGAAGCTGGGCCTGGAGGGTTGGGGTGGTTCCGGGCACGTGGAGCGGAGGAGGGTAGGGTGGGGTTGGGGAGGGGGTGCTCCTCTGCAGTAAGTGAAGTGGGCCGGGTGGGGAGCAGCCCCTCACCCGCTGTCTGGTCTTCTGCAAGTTGTTCCTCAGGATTTTGCGGATCTCTTCTTCCTTGTCCTTGGACAGTGCTGGCAGGATGCGCTCCGCCGGCAGGGACTTGGGGTGGATGTTCCTGGGATAACGGGGCACAGATTAGAAAATTCCTGGGACTCTGGGGGCTGGGCCAGGGCCAGAAGGGTCCCCTGGGGATGAAGCGCCAAGCCTTGGGTCCTCAGTGTGGCCTGCCCGCCTGGTGAAATGACCCAGGGGGGCCCGCTCCAGGTGGGTGTTGAGGGGTCGGCGTGTGGCTTGCAGAAGCGGCCGGGGCTGGCCACTAGCACTCACTGCATGGAGACGGTGGAGACGGCCGACGGGATCTTGCCCATGCCCCCACTTTCCACCAGCTCGATGGCCTGCTTCATCTCCATCTTGTGGTAGAAAGCGATGAGCTGGGGCTCCTTGGAGCGCTCGCCAGCTATCAGACACTTCTTCACGTACTTCTTATTAAAGCGGTTGAGCCTGGTGGGAGGCGGGAGGAGATGGGTGAAGCCGGCTCCCGCGATGGGACGACGCCCAGGCCCCCGGGGGAGACCCTTACCTGCCCCTCCCGGCCCTCCTGCCCACCAGGCCGGCCACCTACTTGTCTTTCCAGTGGTGGTGGCCGTAGTGGCCACAGATGTCCTCGATGCCTGTCAGAAGGTGGTCCAGGAACTGAAACGTGCCCAGGGCCAGGTCAAGCCTCACTACTCGGCTGCTCCCGGACCAAGACTCCCGAATGGGCCCCCCACCTTCCACCCAAGCGTTGCTCTGCTCAGCCCAGCCCTGTAGTTCCAGAAGCAGCCAGGAGGTGGCAGCCACACCCCATTCATCCTGAACCCCTGTGGCCCCCCCTCCAGCCCTCTGCCACTGGGGCCCGGCTGAACCCTCTTCTCTGAACCTACTTGTGCCCAGCACCTGGGACAGGTTCCTGCAGAGGCAGAGACAGCATGACGCCCCCACCTCAGGTTCCTGGCTGCTCACACCGCCCCTCCCTATGGGGTGACCTGGTGACCTCAGGAGGCGGAAGGACCACCCCGGCACTGGATGAGCGAGGAGGGGCTGACTGAGGTCATGGATGCAAGGCCTAGCTGACCCCCGGCTCTCTAAGCCTCCTCCTGCAACACAGGGCCCAGGCCCAGCTTCCGGTACCTGCGTGTGGATCTCCTCGTTAATAGATCGCTTCGTTTCTTGCTTTTTCTTCACAGCCAGCAGGTCTACCAGGGGCCGAATGGTCATGCCCTGGGGGGCGGGTGGGTGTCAGGCACTCCAGTTCTGCCACCCTGGCAGGGAGGCCACAGAGGTCCCCCACCCTAAGGTCCCTGAGACTGGGATGCCCTTTTCTCTGACGTCCCCAATCTCCCAACATCCAAGCTGTGCTTATATTAAGCCCACTTCTTCCTGAAGACATAACTAGGGGCTTCACATCCAGCCAAGGGACTCACACACAGGTCATCTAGCCCGGGCCAGAGTTCAAGCGTGAGCTCCACCACAAATGTGTTCTGTCACCCCAGGGAAGTCAGGCCTGCCTAACTGGGAGAACCACCTCTGCTCTGGCCCCCTTGCAGGTTTGTGACCCAGAAGGACCTAGTAAGAACAGCAGTAACTAATCTAACTGCACACTTGTCAAGTGCCAGGGCCAGTGGTGTTTTTACTAGAATTAGCATTTCAATACCTACAATGACCCTAAGAGGTAAGCCCCTTCCTTGACCCCATTGTACAGATGAGGAAACTGAGGCTGAGGGAGGCTGAGTAACTTCCTAAGGTCTCACAGAAGTAGTAAAGCTGGATTCAAACTCAGGCAGGGAGGTCCCTACCTCAATGCTTTCATTAAAAACTGGCTTAGTAAACCATCGGCATATACAACTGCAAAATCAAGGTGATAAAATGTTTTTGAAGATGGAAGCAGGGCAAGATGACCAAAGAGGTAGCCTGTTCTCCTTTTAAAAGACAGAAGGCAAGTCCAGCCCCAGGAAGTTTGCTCTATACTGTTTTCTCTGGAGAAGGCAATGATGCTTCCCATTGAGGGCTTGTCCAGCATTACTATTCAGGAAAGATGGAGGGGGTGGTAGAGAAACACATAGAGCAAACACACAGATGAACTGTTTCTCACTTGCCCAAAGTCACGGGTCAGACAACGAGAAATGATTTACATCATCTCAGGCTGGGCTCCCTCAGGGACTCAAGGGGTGGGTGAGGTTCTCAGCTAAGCCTGGGTTGTTCAAATGCATAGAAATCATGGCCAGTAGCTGGAAGGATTCTTCAGGATCATCCGGTCCAGTCCCTTCACTTCACAGATGGGGATCTGAGAGCCAGAGAGGGGAGGAGAATCTTTCCGGGGTCACACTGATAGCAGAGCTCAGGAGAGCTCTGGCTAACGACTTCCTACTGCGCAGCTCAGGGACCTTTTTGCCTTTCCAGTCCCCGTGGTGTGCTACTGTCCCCATTTGATTGATGGAGAAGCTGAGACCCTAAGATATTAAACTGCCTCCCTAACTCCGGGAGTTGGTGATGGACAGGGAGGCCTGGCGTGCTGCGGTTCATGGGGTCGCAGAGAGTCGGACACGACTGAGTGGCTGAACTGAACTAAATCCCTACCATGAGCTTCATGGCCCTGCTGAGTGGACCCGCCCCTGTGAACGCTACCTGGGCTCCTAACTAAGCTGGGCAGCACCACTCCACAAGGACGCGTGATCCAACCCTCCCTTTACAATTGAGCACAGTGAGGCCCAGAAAGGTGGAGAGGCTTGTCCAGGGCTGCACGAGGTACTGGTGGAGCTGGAACTACAACCCATGCTCCCCGCCGCCCCCCCATCCCCTCTCAGTCATGTGCTTCCTCTTTCCTGGCAGAGTCAGGGTCCCCGGGCAGGGCTGCTCCACCCTGTCCAGCACCTGCACAAAGACGGTGAAGAAAATGACGGTGATGATGGCGGTGAGGAAGAGGTCACACATAGGGAAGTGCTTCTTGTCCAGGAGGTAGCCCAGGGAGAAGGCGATGGCCCCTCGCAGGCCCCCGTAGGCGATGATGAACTGGTCCTTGGGGGTCAACTTCACGATGCGGAACTTGTTGATAAACCAGGTCAGGCCCAGCACGCCTGCCAGGGAGGGGAAGGGAGGGGTCAGACTGTCCCAGCCCCTCACGGCTTCTGCAGCTGGGAGATTTCTCTGTCTGGAGGAAGCCGCCACTGGTAAACCCACCCAGCTCACTCATATCTCAGGTCCCTCAGTTCAAGGTGCTCTAATCCCTCCATCCAAGAATTGGGTGGATCTCTAAGGGGGTCCTTTAATCTGGGTATACTTTAGGGACATTACAGAGGCCTCCAGGGGCTGGAGGGCAGGAGGGTATCAGGAGAAGAGACGAGACAAGACTGGCTACAAGTTGATACCTATTAAATATGATAGGTACACGGGGCCTATTTTTCTATGCGTTTGAAATTTTCTGTAATAAAAAGTTGTTTAAAAATGCTAGGGCTTCCCTGGTGGTCCAGTGGTTAAGACTTCATGCTTGCACTGCAGAGAACACGAGTTCAATTCTTGGTTGAGGAACTAAGATCACACGTGCAGCATGGCCAGAAAAAAAAAAATTGCAGAGGGAGGTTGGAGTCCAATCTCAACCCCATAGCCCCAGAATCTCCAGAGGATGAGGCCCAGGATGAAAGGGTTTTTAAGACAGCGCAAGTTAAGTGCCACACCAGGACCTAACCTCAGAGAGGAGGTGAGATCCACGGGTGGAAGCCACACGGTCACCGAGGTAATGTGTATCTGGAAGGTGAAGCAGTTGCCCAAGGGCCTGAGGCCTGGTGCCCAGGGGTGGCCTGGTGCACCCTGGGGCTGGCAGCCCCAGTTGGGAGGCGCTGCAGAAGACTCGGCAAGTGCCAAAGTCACACGTGGGAAGAGGCTGTGCAAAGACCACAGGGCTGAACACAGATCTGGCTCTGGGGGCCTCAGTCTCCTCCTCAGATACCGAGTGGCTCAGAGTGCCAGGGCTGCTGAGGCCTCTTCCACCCGCACACCTTGGCTGTCTCCCCTCTGGGAGCACAGCCCTCTGTCCTCTCCAGGGCCCATCAGGGCCTCGGTGCTGCAGGGAGCAGAGTGGGGAAGCCCCCTGTCCCAAGCGGGGTCGGGAGCAGCCCGGAGCCAAGCCTGTCACCTCCACACACAGCATGCACCCAGCTGCCACGCACACACACACCCCTCCCTGGGCCCACGGCTCACCCAGCACTCGGGCGATGAGGCAGAAGAGCAGGGTGCTGATGACAAAGGTCCAATTCCAGTGGTGGGAGCCGGCCACAGTGGAGACACCCAGGAAGATGAAGATGAGGGTTTCGCTGACGCTGCTCCACATTTTGAGGAAATACTTGATGGTCGTGTGGGACTTGTGGGAGATGTTGGCCTCCACGTAGGGGCGCATCACCACGCCCGAGGCAATGAGTCTGGGGGTTAGGGGAGGAAAGAGTGGGGAGCGGGGTTCAGAGTCGAGCCGCACCCTCCCAGGGAGCCTCCAGTGCCAGGGAGGCGGGCAGGGGCCGGGCGCCTGAGCTCCTCTCATGGGTCAGACGCCCCTGCCGGCTTCCAACCCCTGTTCTCAATCCTCTCAGCCAACCCTGCAGATGCAGGCATATTCTGGCATTTTCCAGATGAGAGATCTGATCCATGCAGAAATAAAGTTACCTGCCCCCGGTCACACTGCCAGGGAATGGGAGAGCTAAGACACGAACATAAAAAGTTCTGCCCGGCTCCTAAGCCTGGGCCTTCTCCCTGAGGCCACGCGGCTTCTCCACCTCACAGGGGTCAGGTCTCTGGCCATAGGTTTATCCTCCAGAGTGTGGTATCCCCTTAACACCTGGGGTCCCCACAGGGAGCTGTCTTCTGTGGGGAGCTGTCCCCACAGACAGCTGTCCCTGTCCCCACAGGGAGCCCAGCCTCCTCATTGTCTGCCCCCATCCCCGTCCCCCAATCCAACCTTGGCACTTCCAGTGACCTCCCCTAGTGGGAGCACCTTGACACAGCTTCCCCCCCATCCCACCAACCCCGACTGCAAGATGCAGCTGGGGTCTCAGGACCCCCACAGCAATGGAAGCCCCGAGCCCCCTAGCTAGAGCTGCTGAGAGGAGCAGTGGGCCCTAGTGCCTGCATCCGGCATCCGCCAAGGGGCTTCCTTTGTAACAAAAGAATAGAACAGCTGGGCTGAGGCCTTCCAGAACCTTAAACTCCATGCTTCCAGGCAGCCCCGAGACCTGAAGCCTGGATCCAGGGGACTGGGCCCTGGGGAGCTCCTTTTGATCCTCCAAGCCCTGGGGATCTGAGTTGGCAGCCCCCCTCCACGCCATGCCCAGACTCACGCCATGATGCCCGACAGGTGGAAGAGCTCGGCCGACAGGTAGGCCATGTAGCTGTAGAGGAAGACGAAGAGCGGCTCGATGACGCGGATGTGGGAGGTGAAGCGGGAGGTGAAGGCTGCGATGACCCCGTAGACCACGCCCACGAACACCCCGCCCAGGGACACCACGAAGAAGCTCAGGAAGCCGAGGATGATGTCCACGATGCCCACGCGGTCGTAGTTGGCAAACTCCTCAAAGAGGTGATACAGGACCTGCGAAGGGTGTGCAGGCTGGTCGGCAGGAGTGTGGGCACCCTGCCCGTGGCTCCCGGGGTTCACCCAGGGTGGGGCCCTGCCCCGTGGCTCCCAGGGTTCACCCAGGGCGATTCTGTCCCCTCTACTGACCACGGCAGAGGTGGCAGAGGGGTCGGGGGCCAGGGGTCTTTGGGCCTGCAGCAGGCTGTGCAGAAAAAGAGCCCAGCTCTATAGCCAAACCACCCGGGTTGAAATTCTGACTCTGCCGCTCCCCAGCTGTACACATGGAGCAAATGACTCAATCGCCCTGGGCTTCAGTTTTCCTGTCCAGAAAATGGGGGCAATAGTACCGACCTCACAGGGCTACTGTGAGATTCAATTAGTTAATGAAGGCAAGTTGCCTATCACAGCATTAGCTGCTATTCACCAAGCTCATTATGCACACCCCTGACGGGATTTTGGTCCTTCCTTTAGCACAAAGCTGGGAAAATTCAGATAATGAACTAGAACAGGACTTCTTAACTCCTTAAGCTTTCTAAAAATACAGTCGGCCAGCCCATACTCTACTTGGATTGTCTGGAAGTGGGACCCAGAAATCTCTGTTCAACAAGGCCCCCAGAGGGTTGCAATGAACCACCAAGTTCAGGCGCTATGGACCCAGAGGCTCTCCACGGCTTCCCCACCTCTGGGCTGGGGAAATAAATGGTCATTGTAACACCACCATCAGGCTTTAAGTGGCACTTCATACACTGTAAAGCCCTTTGATTATGGTCATCCTGTTTGCCACACAACAGCCCCATGAGGTAGGCAGGCTAACGATGCTTGTTCCCTTGCTTAACTAAGGCTCAGAGTGGTAAAGTGACATGCCAGAGGGCCCCCCCAATCCCTTCCCCGGGAGCAACAGAACTGGGCCCAGAGCTTGGTCCCTGCCAGCAGTGGATGGGCCTCCCAGGGGATCCAGCTCTGAGGTTCTATCTACCTCCTCTTTGGTGCTGGCTGCCTGGCCTGCTCCTAGACAGCTCTGCCCAGAAATCAGCTGGGGAATGTCCAGGCTGAAGGACAGCAGAGGGAGTGGGGAAGAAGAGCTTGGGGACCCCAAAACAGACCCTCCAAAGCCCCCAGTACCTGGGCCACATGTGGAAGCAGGGCACCTTTGCTCCAGGGCCAAGGCCTGAGGCCACACAGCTTGGGGCAGCCTTCAGCCCTACTGTCTGGGTAATGGGGCATTCACACCCACGCCCAGAGCTCTAGAAAGGGCCCAACTTGGGCCAGGCAGGGAGGGGAGATGTCAAGCACTGGCCAGTCCCCCATGCTCCTGGACACAGCCGTCTGGGAGACAGGGCAGGGCTCTGGCAGTGCGTTATCAGCCCTGGGCTACCTAAACCTACTCCTGGCCTGAGGAAATGCTCAGGTCCCTAAAGTGCGCTGCCTGGGCCAATGGGGCAGGTACAGAGGGCAAGGTCCTCATTTCTGGCCTGGCATTGTCACTGGGACTACAGAGACAGAGTAGCATAGTGCTAAGCATCTGGACTCGGGACTCAAGACTGTGTAGATCTGAACCCCAGTTACATCATTTACCAGCTACTATGATCGTGGATGAGTTCCTTAATCTCCCAGTGTCTCAGTTCCCTCACCTGAAAAACTGGGAAAAATCACCGTGCTAACCTCATGGAGTCTGTGCAGATTCGATGAGACAATACATGATCAGACAGGAAGCACGCAGTGAACACCAGCAATGACCACCACCACTGCCCCTGTCTCGGGGAGGCATGGCCACGGGCCCACGGTGGCCAGAATGGGGCATCCACTCTTGCAGCCACGCCCCACTGTTCCCCAAGAGTGCCAACCTGAACCCCAACATACACCCAGATCCTCTGGGGCGGGCTTCATCTCTGGCACCCACTGCTTTTGCAGATACGAGCGAGTGTGACTCCCGTCAGAGCCCCGGGAGGATGGCAGGCTCAGAACAACGGTCCCTGCTCCAGATGGGGAAACAGACCGAAGTGGCAGCCATGGGCAAGGGCGGGTGCCTGAGGAGCCAGGACAGATGAGCCAGTCTGTGACTCCCCTGGCTTCACAAGGAGCTGACGGGGGCGCCAGGGGAAGAAGAGGGAGAGGAAGCTGAGGCTGCCGGCAGGCAACCACCGCTGTCGGTAGCTTCTTTGGGGTGCGGCTTCCTGAGCGGCTGGGAGTGAGGTGGGAATGCGTGTGCGAGCGTGCACAGGGCGTGCACATGGGTCCGTGAGTTTTCCTGTGTGGGCAGCTGCTTTCTGAGGGCTTCAGCCAGGAGGGGGATGTAGGTGTTTGCACAACACGAGTGTGCACATACACGTATCTGCTTCCTGAGGAAGCCGGCTGGGAGGAAGGGTATGTGCAAACATACACAGCCTTGCCACGTGCAGACCCTGCGGTGGAGGTGTCTGTCCTCACTAGACCTGGGAAGAACGCACTAACTACTCTGCCACATCCCAGCTGTCAAAGATGAAGCCCAAAGAGGTACAGTCACATGCCTAAGGTCACACAGTAGGCAAGTGGCCAACCCAGACTGACCCACTTTACTTGCCACCTTCTGGAGGTTTTAGAGACAAGGTTCCTTTCCATGAATGCTGCCCCCAAACTCTGTACAAATTAAATGCTAACTTAAGACATGTGTGTGTGTGTGTGTGTGTGTGTGTGTGTGTGCATGTCTGCATGCATGCATGCTCAGTCATGTCCGACTCTTTGGCTGTAGCCTACCAGGCTTCTCTGTCCATGGGATTTCCTAGGCAAGAATACTGGTGTGGGTTCCTCCCCCGGGGGATCTTCCCAACCCAGGGGTCGAACCTATATCTCCTGCATTGGCAAGTGGATTCTTTACCACTGAGCCACCTGGGAAGCCCTAGCTTAAGACACAGCTACCATGAAAGCTAAAATGCCCCTCAGAGACTAACTGGTCTATAAAGGGTAAACTGAGGTACAAAGAGGATAAGTCATTTAATCAAGATCACATCACAGTGCATCAGGGACAGAGCACACGACCTGGTCAGGCCAAGAGCTCAGGCCCTGCAGTCAGACAGACCTGGCTTCCAATTTCAGTTCTATCTATTTTACTGAGTTATTTAACCTCTTTAAGCTTGACTCCTCCTCTGCAAAGTGAGACTAAGAAGCACCTCTTAACGTAGTCAGGAGGATAACTGAGATAATCCCTGCTGGTGCCCAGCACGATGGCCGCACATAGCAGGCAGGACTGGATACTTGCTGTCTTACTATCATGAGCGGGGGGATGTGGGATTCACTCTGCACCTGGACTTGGGTCTGGGTCTTGCGCGCCCCGGGGCATGGTCCCTGCCTCTCACCACAGTGACGGCGTCGTTGAGCAGGGACTCCCCAAACACAAGGATGTGGAGCAGCTCGTTGATATGAATCTCCTCGAAGACAGCCAGCACGGCCACGGGGTCCACGGCCGAGATGATGCTGCCGAACAGCAGGTTCTCCAGGAGGCCGATGTTGTTGATCTGCTCGCCGCCCACCAGGCACACGGCGTACATGAGGCCGCCCAGGAAGAAGGCGTTCCACAGCGTGCCCACCACGGCAAAGATCAGGATGGTGCCCAGGTTCTCCGTGAACTGCCGAAGCGGCAGGAAGTAGCCGGCATCCAGGATGATGGGTGGCAGCAGGAAGAGGAAGAAGACTTCTGACTGCAGGATGGGGGGCGTCTCGCCCACGCCCTTGATCAGACCCCCCACCAGCAGCCCCACCACAATCAGCAGGCAGCTCTCTGGGACAATGCTCGAGATGGTGGGGATCACGTGGAAACCTGCAGAGGGTGAGATAACGGAAGGCCGTGGACTTGAGGGGAGCCAGGAGAACAGAAGGCTAGGGCTGGGGCTGAAGGCTAGAGGTAGGATGAAGAGGGGCTCAGGCTTGGTCTCAAGGGGCTGCTCTGTTAACTCTCTGAGCCTCAGCCTCCTTGCCTAGAGCTGATAATACCAGCCTCACAGGCTAACATAATGCACTTATGGATTATGTTTATACATAACTAAGTGATGTATAAACTACATGATGATGTTGTTGAAGTGCTTTTTTCAAAGGATATACAGATGCTCTCTGTCACTGCCATAAAGTAGGAGAAAGAAGCAGGTCTATATGCCTCCAGAAAGCAGAAATTATACACTGATTACCGAGGCTCCAAGTACCACCCAGTTCCCTGACTGCCCCATCTGCCCAGGTTAGGGTAGGGGTCCTTCTCTGGTGCCTTCCCCTCTCACAATTTCAATCTGCAATCCTGAGGGCATCACTTAACACCTGAACCCAAGTCATCAGTCCAGGCACAAGTTCAGGGAGACAATGTAAGCTCAAGACCAGGCCCAACAATCGAAGAATTCTGTCTAAGGGAAGACATCAAGATCCCCATCACGGAGGCGTTGAAGCAAAAGGCAGACAATGGTTGGTGAGATGACACAGGAGACAGGAAGGAGCATAGAGGAATCAAAGGCTATCGGCGCAGGAAGGAACCTGGGGATCATGCTGCCTGGGCCAGCAAACGTGCAGCACGCACGCAGCGACTTCCAATCCCAGCTTTGCGTGCTTTCCTGCTGAGCCCAGAGAGACGCTCAGGAAGCCGGCAGCAATCAACGGGTTCTGCGCGTGAGACAAAACCTGTTTGCCATCCTGTTTCTCACCCAATTCCATCCATTTTAAAAAAGGGGCAACTGAGGCTCAGGGAGGGGAAGGGACTTACCCAAGGTCACACATCATCAGTAGTAGAACCAGGACAGAACCCAGGTCTGACCCCACCGGCTCCTATCAAACTCCCCCGTTCTTTAGATCAGCCCCTCCTTTCTCCCCATTAAGGTGAAAATGCCCCTCTGCCTGAGACCCACCAGCCATCTCCCCAAGCCAGGTCCCAGCCGGCAACAGCGGCAGGCCACCCTCTGTAGCCAGCCCACTTGGTTCCAAACCCTGAGCTGGGAAGCAGCAAAAATCCCTTTCAGAGAGGGGCCCCTCTCAATGCCAGCTCTACCCCCAAGCTGCTCATGGGTCTCTGGTTTGTTTTGGGTGGGGAGGTGGGTGGAGAAGACCTGGGACATAACCCCCAAGGTCCGCTTGGTAGGATGGTCTGCTTGCCACTTTGCTTGCAGTGGAAGCTCTTGGTCTCCTCCCCTCCTTAGCTTGTAAACTCTCTGCAGGCAGACTGCATCTCTGTTTATGATTATGTCCCCAGGGTTGGGGATAGAGGAGGCGCTCAACAAGTATCTACTGAAATGCAAAGGGCTTGGCCAGGACCACGTGAATCGATAACATATCTGACCAGGCCTCCTCCCTCTTTATCCCTGAAGAACTTTGGGAGGGAAGAGGAACATCCCTCCCCAGGCCCAGAGCCCTCCTGCTCTCAGATACTGATCTGGGTGGTGCTAGCATCCGCTACAAGTCAGGACTCAGTACACCCTCCAGGCCCAAAGCCTGTCACAGTGCCAAGCACCTAGGAGATACAATCGAATCACGCCGGAAAAAAAAAAAACACATCTCCATTCTAGTTCAGGAGACTTCAAAACAGACCTGACCAAAAGTCACTGCTTTTAGGACTTCCCTGGTGGTCCAGTGGTTAAGACTCTGCTCTTCCAGTGCCAGGGGGTGTGGGCTTAATCTCTGGTCAGTGAACTAAGATCTCACATGCTGTGTGGTAAGGCCAAAAAAGAAAGTCACCATTTTTGTTGAAAAGTCCACTCCTCTTACCCTGCCACACCCGTCCGTCTTTGACTGTCAGTAACCCTCAGGGTTCATGTGGCTGGTACACTGCGAAGGGCTGAGTCAGGCTGAGTCTAAGTCTCCCTTGCTCTAAAGACTGAAGTCCAAACTTTCAGCATGCCCTTCCTCATGAGGTCTTGCTCATGTCTCATGGTCCCTGCTATCATTTTTTTTTTCCACCTCGCCATGCAGCTTGTAGGATCTTAGTTCCCTGACTAGGGATCGAACCCAGGCCCGCACAGTGAAAGCACTGAGCCCTAACCACTAGACCACCAGGGAATTCCCCCCAGTGCATATTCTAACATTTCAACCTTGACAAACTCCTTGCAATTCGCTCAAGTGAGCTACACCCTCTTTGGCCTGCAGAATTTTGCCTAGTCCAGTCTGCTTGTCCAGAACACTATTCCTCTACCCACACTGTATGTGGCTGACACCATATCCTTCTGCCTGCCTTCTCTTCCAGGAAGCATTCCCTGACCACCCCTGCCTGCCTGGGCTAGAGCAGGAGTCCTCTGGTGTGCACCCCATCATAACCTTCGACCCACAGTCATGACCTGGATTCCGCTTTCTCCCTGACACCCAATGAGGTAGACAGTGCAGGCAGAAGCAGTGAAAGAGGACAATGGCACCACGCCTGGGACCTGTATCTGCCTTGAGGGAAGACAGGACAGCATGGGGCTTGGGGGAGCCAAACCCAGCCAGCTGACCTCCTCAACTCCTCACCCCCACCCCTGAAACTGAGCAACAAGAGCTGCCACAGGAGTAAGCAGAGTCTAAAGAGGCAGCCCAGGGCGAGTGGAGGACAGCAATCACCTCCACCTAGCTTGATAGGCTTTGAAATTGACTCATCACCCTCTGTACCATCCATCCAATCCACAGAGCTTTTCTGCCTGCAGGAAGTGCCAGGCAATGCACCAGAGACAAGTAAGCCTCAGCCCATTGGGGGAGCAGAGGGATGACTGTGTGTGTGTGTAACACTCCAAGAGCAATAACATGAAGAATACTCATTAGTCCTAAAGGTGCACCAGGAGCCAGGCACATGTCACCTCTTTAGTCCTCACAATACCAAGCCCTGTGGGATAGGTATTGTCTCCACTTTGCAAAAGAGAAAGTTGAGCTTTGGCAAGGTTCAGTAGCCTCCCCAGAGTGCAGGGGAGGAGCTCAACTCTAGCTCAGAGCACCTCACTTCTTTAAGTGAGTCGGTCCCCACAGTACCCGGGGCTGGTGCCCTGTCCCCGGAGCAGAAACCCCAGGTCTTCCTGTGTCGGCCCTGCCTCTCGGGGAGCATAATCCTGGGCCCTGACGGGCAAGGGGAGGGGAGGGGAGGGGAGGAAAGTCTGGGATCCACCCTGGCTCCTGGCCTGCGGGTAGGCTGCATGTTACTGGAAAGCAGCTTCTGAGGGAGGGGTGGATTCTGTCATCAGGCAAAGCGGAAGGGGGCCTGACGGCCTGTTCTGACTTGTCCCTCTCCCAAGGCCGACTCCACCGGTTGCCCCCACCCTGCATCCCAGACACTGAGTGAAGTGAAAGGGGGACAGTTGGGTCTCTGGGCCCTTGACCAAGACCCAGCATTGAGGCAGGACCCCAAGATGCCATGAAATGAGGCAAAACTTCTGGGCCTGAACTTGTGACAGTGGTGATGTCACCAAGATGGAATCGGGGTGGGGCAGAGGCCACCAGACTCAAACCCAAGGCGTGAGAGCCGACACAGACCTCGGAAGCCACCTAGACCCTCCATCACATGGTTGGGGAAATGAGACGCAAAGAGGGGTGGTGACCTGTCAGGTCACGGCCGGTCCCACCATGAGGACCCGTGAAGCTCAAGTCCAGGGATCACTTGAGCCACACGGCCTCCTGCTGGAGGCCCCACATCTCCCAGAGCAAGGACAGGAGGAAAAGGTCTGGAATTCAACATCTCCCGGCCACGGGGCCAAACCGCTGACACAGTTTGGGGCTGGGCTACAGTCCATGGGGTCGCAAAGAGTCAGACATGACTGAGCGACTTAACTTCCCTTTTTAGGCGAAGAGGCAGCGGCAGGGGAGTGGTCTTTCTCACTCTGTCCGGCGTGGGTGGCAGCTGGGCAACTGGGGGCACACACATATACACACTCACTCTAGCTCTGACACATGCTCACTCTGCCCACTGTCTGACACACACACTGTCTCACATTCTCTCTCACGCACAATCCCCACACTCACTCTCTGACATACTCTCACACAGACTCTGACCACACACTTATTCTCTTACACACCCATGCACACTATCATCACCTACATTCTTGCTGTCTCTGACACACATGCTGTAAAACATTCACACTCACCCCCCACCCCCCGTCTTACAGATACACACACATACTCTTTCTATGACACACACAGGTAAACTGAATTTTACACAGGTAAAAATTACACAGGTCAAAAATCAACCACAGACTGATGGCCGGCTCTTGGTCCCCGGCAGCCTCTCTGGACTTCACTGTGAGAATGTTTTATTTACATCCCAGACCGTCCCCACCTGCTGAGACTGGGTGCCATGCAGCAGGCAGGCAAGACTGTCCCACATCACCCTTGGTTGCCAGGGTGAAGGGATATCCCAACCCCACTGGCCGCATCTCTCCCCTGGTCTGGCAGTCAGAGGGGCATGCCAGGAAGCAGGGCCTCCCTGGCCCCCCAGAGCTGGGTCAGCAGGGACCCAGGGGCATGCGAGGGGCTCTGCCGCCCTAGTTCCTGGCCTGAGGACTGCTCTGGGGCTGCAACTCGGCCAGGTCCCAAGGGATTCCCGGTTGCACAATGATTCCATGTCTTTAACTCCCTCTTCAACTGCCCCAGCAACCAGTCTCTGCTACAGTAATGAAAGGTGATCCCTCCCAAGGAGAGCCTGGCGCTCGACAGCTTACAGCAGCTTGCTCTGCTATGTCTAACTCACCTGCACCTCACCAGGCTCTGGGCCGTCACAGTCACCATCTCCCCATCTTAGAGAGGAGGAAACTGAGGCACAGAAAGGCAAAGCAACTTCCTCAAAGTATAGTGGCTGGCAACCAATTCAAAATCCAGGCAGTCTGGCGCCACTCT